ACCTGTAATTTTCACAGCTGTGTCTTGGGCACTGAGCCAGGGTGAGTGAGGGAAAGAGAGACTGAGAGAGAGAAAGAGGGAGAGAAGGAGAGAGAGGTGGTGGCTAATGGCTTTTAGAGGACTACAGGCCCCAGCTTTGCTTTGCTAATCCTGGGCCGCTCACAATGCACTGCTTATTCAAACCAGACAAATACTCGGACAATCAAAAAAGATCAAGCTGGAAATCTTGTTAACATTATAAAATGTACACATCCAAAGTGAAATTCAAACTTCATTCCTCAGAGGTAAGTACACTTCATTTAAAACCAGCATCTTATTTTCATGGTTTGTCTTGGTTATAATGATGCTGTTATCAGCAAAGTGTCAGATGAAATCTGAGAATATCACCTCACCAAAGTCAGATCGGTGGTAACGAGGTCAAAAGCGTTGTCTGATAAAACCCTTTCACTCTGAGGTAAAACTGAAAAGTGAGCGCGCCAAAAATGACAGCAACTATCCCAAATTGAGGGAAAATCTATTTGCAATCAAAACTTAGTAAGTGTAGTAAGTTTCCATTCCCCGTCAGTTTCTCCTCCAAATAAGACTGAATAATACTTTTATTTTATAATACTTTTAATACTTTTTTTTGGTTTGGTTTGGTTTTTTTTTATTAACGTCGCCACTTTCCCAGATCTCAGCTGAGGTCGGATTACCCACAGGGCAAAGCAAGCATCTGTTCTCCACCTCCTGAACTACTCCAGGTTAAAGCTCCAGTGTTCAGCTGGTTTGGACGAATTTTAATGAATGTTTGCAAATAAATTAAATCATTTAAACACAATACAGTAAATAACGAGATATGGGACCTTTGGTGTGTCCTGCTTCATTTGCTATATTGTAATGTCTGATTGGATGCATTCAGGTGCAGCACTGGGGGGTGGGCAACTGGCACTTTAGCAGCCAACACATCCACTGTAGTTATAAACAGAGGAAAATACAATGGAAGCATAAAATGATGCTTCACGCTGCATTTGCGTGTGTATTATGTGAGTAAAAGGCAACCAATATGCATCACAGATTTTTTTTGATATTTGTGAAAAATCATATCTCTGTGGAACACACTGTTAAACTTCTTCAAACCCCAACAACAAACACCAACAAGGCAAAGAAACCTGAGAGGCATAACCTAGGGTGCGGAAAACCCTCAAAGCATTTCCTGCACCGCTTGTTTCTATTGGTTAATCTGGTTGCTTTCAGCGCACACTTCCTAAAGGACGACGTCTTAGATCAATGTTCCCAGTGGAAATTACACTCTTGACTTCATCATTACAGATTGTATGTTGCATATTCCTGAGTGGATGTGGGAGAAAATGGGGTTTCTAATTGGGAGCCTAACAGTTTATGTTTACCAGGGAGTACAGAGGCCCTTAAGGAAAAACTACACACGAGAAAGAAGGCACAAACATTCAGGGAAACGTGCTCCAAATGCAAATATGTGTTGTCCTTGTTTGTAAATCTGCTTTCAAACATAAACTAACATTTTCCAGAGGGGCTGCAATTGAGAACGCAAATGTCCCAGTCAGTTGCCAGGAAAATTCCCGGAACTTTATCTGTCAGCCCCCTAAAAAATAAAATTTCTGGGAAATATCCGACTGAGCCCATGTGAGAATACAGCAGGATGAAGGTCCAAAACATTCACAGGGAGCGAGTGGGCGAACTGGAAGAATGCAAATATCTCAGGATGAATAGAGTTGTCATCTTGGACTGACAACGAGATTTAAGAGCTTTTGTTGATGAGAGCCGACGCCGGAATCGAAATGCTGTAAACAAAAACACTGTGATTTCAGCAGAATCCTCCTGCATTCTCGACCCAGGCACTTCACCTTCGCCTGAATGTTCCTGAAATTTTGTGAACGCTGCTGTCCTGCACAATCTCCTACTGTGTTCTTCAGGAGTGACAAAGGCTTTTGTGTTTTTTGTGGCATCAGTTGTATTTCAGGAGTTGGAGCCTGTTCCCCTTAATGTTTGTCCTTTCATTTATGCTTGCACAATATTACAATATAGCCGTTTTCAGACATGAACTCTGAGGAATGTCCACACAACAGGAGGAGATTCTTTGCTGAGATGCGATCACAACAACACAGAAATCTCCTGAGACATCAGATGAGGAGTAGTGCAGCATGGACATTTCTACTGCAGAGATCCCAAAATCCACAGTTTCTACTAGGGGGGCAGCAGTAGAAAGTTTGGAGAATGTTTGCAGCAATTGTCTCAGACATTTGCATTCTCAGGATAATTTCAGAAGATTAACCAGAAGATTAACCAGAGGGCAGTGCATGTCTGAAAGCAGCTTCAAACTTCAGTCAGCTTGGATATTTGAGATTCTCTGCATTTATAAAAACAGATACAGCTCCAAAAATCATGCAAACCCAGCCCAAACCAAGTCAGTAACAGTGACTGTGTTGCAGCTGAAGCTTCTGAAAAATGGAGCATATATCAATGACTGACGGCAGTAGTTGGAAAAGTTACATAAAAGAAGACAGTTTGTACTGAGAGGCATCCAAACAAATCAAACCCAATGAGCTGCTGACTTCCTGTTAGATAATATTTAACATCACTCTGAGGAGCGCTACGCTCTGATGATGACAAGAAAAATGGGACATATCCTGTCTTTATTCATACTAATATATACTTTTATGTCTTATTTTGTAGGACGAGAAGAATAAAAAATATTTAGTTGGTCACATATCTGGTTGTATTGTAGACACTGCTGGAGTTTCTTCTGACCACATGTAGCCTGTATCTGAGTAGGAAGTATTTGTCTCCACTGGGACAGCAGGGAGGAGGAGGACGCTGTGTTTGGGTGACATGAAGCACATTCCCCTCCTCTTCCTCCTCTTTCTCCTCCTCCTCTATCCTGCCATAACAAGACACTTCTTCAGAAATAATAGGATTATGTGCAGGATTGATATTCAGCTTCACGGCTCGCGTGTGGCCGCTGCGCCTCCATTCAACACGCTGCCATGACAGGCCTGTCAAGGTGGGCTGTGGAGAACTGACTGGACACAAATACAACCACGACCTCCACACACTGAAGCTCTATTGTCTCTGCCTCTCTGTTCACTGTTTTTACAAACATCGTTATGCAGAGGAACTCATCAGGCAACTTGTATTCCATGTGCGTTATTACATCCCAGTCTTGTCAGAGCCTGTGTTTTCCAGGAGCAGCTGAGCAACCTTTGCACAAATATGATGTTTAGGTTTTTAATCCAAATAAGACGGTGAGTAAAACTCTATTTTTTAGTCATAAATCATATAAAGTTTGTCCAACACAGGTCTGTTTTGTTGGAAGATGTCATGTTTGCCTGTAGCAGAGTGAAAATATGAGTAAAAGTCTGCTTAAGTTTACAGCGACTTCACTAAATCACTTAATCCTGCACTTTATTTAGACATGTCTGTTTTATAATTTGAGCTTTTATATTGTTTCTATAGTTCTGAGCTTTTATATTGTTTTTCTGTTTTTAACGCATCTGATCTACACTTTAATTCTTCTTTTATTTCTGTGAAACACAATGAATGACCTCTCTTGATGTCACCATGTGCTGTAAAACTGTAAATTTGCCTTGCCTTGATCAGAAGTAGAAAATGTCTGTATGCTGATGGCTCATGCCAGTGTTAAACTAATGTGTTTTATATTACACCCTGACCGACACAGCAGTTAGCACACAAAATATCAATATGAGCCTTTCACTGACATATTGGTATCAGTGTTTATTTGCCCACATGCACTGATTTGAAACCTTTATTTCACAGAATATATGTTGCAATGCAAGATGTGGATTCATGTTCACAGTTTACAGTAAACATGTATTTTCTTATTTCAAGTTCTATGGTTGTATTTGGATTTTTTTTTTAAATGTATACTAGTTTACAATTAAGTTTAAAGTTGAACTGTAAAATATCAAGCTTCAATTGCATTTCTTTATCGAAACGGTTTGATGACAATATCTTAGGAATCATTGCCAATTATTTTCTTAATAATTACATTGCGCTCTCTTATATTGGAGTCGGCCGCCAAAAATCCTTATCAGCTCTATCGGCTCTATCTCAAATATATATTAACAGATGTAAAACGTTTAATCAGGTTATAAAGGAGCTAATTCTAACTATCCTATATAGTTCTGGT